ACCCACGCTGTGTTTAGATCTTAGACAGACGGGACCAGCAGGGATTTGGGCCGATACAAGTCGAGTCCGACGGGGTGGCAAAACACAAATAAAACAAAAACTCACGACACTAAACAAAATTGCTGATAAAAAGGGTAACAACCTTTTTATATCTTAATGTCCGTTACATAAAAAACAAAATTGTTCTCAATTCCCGACCCGCTCTGTGGACTATGGCACCAAGCTTCTATCACACAATAGAAAAATGTCGAATTACCTACTTTCTAGAATCATGTATGTATGTCGGAGTGTGGTTCAGTTCGACACTGGGGCTAATTTCTATCGATCATTCGCAGTTGATTCTTCTCTCCGACTTGAGTTGTATTTCTTCTTCTTCGTCTGCTTGGGCTGGTAGTTTTCCTGTTTCAACTTGGTGGAAGATTTCTTGTTTCAACTTAGCCGCAACTCTCTGTCGTCTGAGGTGGTCTCTTCTCACTGCCGTCCGGGGCTGAACTTTAACTTCTCATCGACTTTCGGCTTGTCTGCATCTCCAATTCTTCTCAGGTTTTCAGGCAATCTTCTTCTTCGTCTACTTGGGCTGGAAGTTCTCCTGTCTTCGACTTGGGCTGGAAGGATTTCTTGTCTGAGGATTCTTCTGCCCGCAAAGGGGCGAGTGAATCGGGCCTGATGCCCGCGTTCAGGCTCTTTCCCTGCCCTCGGTTCAGCTGCAACTCCACTCCATCTGCAACTCCAACTTCAACTGCTTTCTGTCGACTGGGGTCCTGCTTATATTGACGCCGCAACAAACTGGGGTGGGTCTGTCGGCGTCAGGGGTTTTCTCGATAATTCCAAAAGCTGCATTAATTCTGTCTTCTCCATTATCGCTATTGTTTTCACCCCTACTTCCTCATAGTACCTTTGGTGGGGCGGCGCACATCCATCTCTCTTAGTCTCTCGTATGTCAGGTGACCGCTTTAACCAATGGTTCCTGATCGGGCATTTCTTTCCCTTCTCTTCCGCAGATCACGTGACCGTCTTCGACCAATCGTTCCTGATCGAGCATTTCTTTCCCTTCTCTTCCGCAGATCACGTGACCGTCTCCGACCAATTGTTATTGATCGAACATCCTTTCTCCTCTTGTTGCGGGCGTGGTTACATCGTTCTTGTTTAAAAAAAAACAAAATCTAATTTTTCCTTTTTTTTTCGCACGTACGAAAAATGACCATCTTGGCCTTCTCTCACCTGGACTTTGTCAAACAGCCCGCCGCTAATTAGTCTTGACTTTAGAAAGGATCTTTTCCGCCTTCTTGGCGCCCTCCGTGAGCAAAAAGCAACTGTCCTCTTTTTACCTCTTTGTTTTTCCTGATAGTCGAAAATCTTAATTATCTACTTTGAAAATGTCTCCACTTTATTAACGTGGGTGTCCAATTCTTAACAGGTCAGGATCTGTATATCGTTCCACCGGTCCTCCCCTCAACCCAAAGACACTTTTTCTCTGATTAAGATTGTTTCATTGTTCCCAAAATTTCTCTTTATCCAAATTGATAAGGTGTCTTTCCATGCAAAAAGTAGGCTAGGTGCTTTGACCGATATCTGGCTTCCATCAAGCGGCCCGTTTTGATATCATGTTTTTTTTTCCCTTTCTTTCTTCTTGTTATTTATAATTCTATTCTTCCAATTGTCTTTTCGAAAATCGGCCAAGACGCTGACCTAAATCTCTTTCTGACTCCTATCTCCACCCTCAATTGGGTCATGCATCATACAACTCTTTTTCTCTCTTCTTCTTTTTTTTTTTTTTTTCTTTTCCTTCTTCTTCCCTTAAGATCGTCTAGTACAATCTTAGTGAGTTATTTTCAACTCAGTTATTTTCCGTTTTAAAAAAAAAATCAACAACCTGTTTAGTAACCGAGTAAGAAAAAATTAAATCATATTTCTATGAATATTTCTAATAATGCAAGGTGCCACACAACCCTAACTATAATCTGGCATAGGAAATTAATTCTTCCATTTTAAAAAAAATTATTTAGTAAACAGGTGATAAAAACATGCCATCTTGAATCCTACTACTTTTCTAAGTGTGCTTGGTAAATGGTAAATGGTAGACAAGCCACCTGAAATATTGTTAACTAGCAAATACTAAAATTTAATTCTATGAATGGCAACATTAATAAAAATAATTTAACAGGAAAGTGAAAAACATTTTTTAAAAGTTGTGGAACTATTGAAAAACTGTTTGATTTTAAAATATGTGGAACATAAAAGGAGTTTTGAGAGAGAGAAATGAGAACATCAAATATCTTATCCCGAGTATTATGAATGATGCAAACAAAAAAAACTCTTACTCTGGTGTGAATAAATTAAACAACATAAAAACTAATAATAGCACAGAATACTAAATTTACAAAACAAGCTTGCACAAAATTTTCCCTTGTGCGCCAAACACTTTGGCAAGCTAACAAATTCTCAATAAAGTAGATACAATTTGGGAGCTCATAAAAACAATTAAATTTATCATAAAGATGTTTACTAACTTTGATTCATACAATTGAGATGGATAGCAAATTCACAGGCATTGCTATGTTTCTTTTAGGCAATAGTTCAGTTTTATAAACTGAAATTCAAAAAGGAGATACATCTCATATTTACATAAAAAGTTCAAAATCAGGTTCAAAACCTCTAATTTTTGATAAGTTTTCACAAACAACTATAGAAAGATAATCATATATCTCTCAATTTGTAGAAACTTTTCCTTTCTGCTTTTCCTTTTCTTTTTACTGCTCTTCTCATTCTTTTTCTTTTGTTACTTCCTTTTCTTTTTTTCATTGTCATCATTTCATCCCTGTGAATGCCAAAACCCTTCTGCTTTCATTTTATTCTTCTTTTTCTTCATCTAAGTTCAGTTTCCAACACCAGCTGCAGATCTTTCTTGTGAATGCCGAATCCTTTCTATTTCTTGGACAAACCAAATTTCTTAAATGTTCACACATCAGCTCTGATTTGAATGAGAAATTTGTGACTATATAATCATTATTTACTTTCCCCATTCGTTAAAAAAACACAAAATGTATAAACCATGTCTGTTGGCAAAATTTATTTAGGTTGGTTTTGAGTCCATAAGACTTGAGCTTCTTTTTTTTTACATATTTTAGAAAACCAAATTTTATACATGTATCTTTTTTATAAACCATCAGGCTTCATTTGGGCAGTTATTTTACAATGTCAATTTGAGCCTCACATATATGTTTTAAGTATTAAATTTTATTCAAGCCATTTATTATTAACCAATTAGCTTTATTATAGGAGTTTTATATTTAAAAAATACATGTTTGTAATTTTATTCTTTTAATAAATGTTTTTTAAATATTCTCCTTGAAAGAAAGTGTAATAAAGAAACCTAGTCTATTGTATTAATATTTTTTATCCTTTAATTATATTTATATAATTTTACATTTCTTTTTTATTATATAATTTTTTATAAACAGACTGCCAAGAGTATGCTTTCCTAATCACTACAATCTTAACCTCTTCAAGGGCCAGTTGTTATCTATCTTACATATCCTCATAATCTGTACTTCTTACCTACAAACTCATTCAGTAATGCTCTATCTAGATGGCTCTTGGGCTTTGTATTGGGTAAATTTTGTAGTGCTAGTGTTTTGCTGAAGATTGTTTACACAAGTCAGAATAATGTTTTTTTTTTTTTTCAAATAAAGAATATCGATGCATTGTTTATAAATTTGAATGTGCTAACTGTAAAGTTAGTTTTATGGGTGAGATGTCTCTTCATTTCCATGAACACGCAATGGAATATCTGAATGCTGATAAAAAGTTCTCAATTTTCAAACATTTGTCAAATAACAATCAGTGTAAATTTTACACTGACTGTTTTACATTTTTGTTTACATTGTATATAAAAATGTAATTTTAACTGTTTTGTCATCATTGACAGGATAGATACACCACACAAATTAGCTATTAAAGAAGGACTCTGAATTGCTAAAAGGGAAACTTATTTAAATGAACAAGTTAAATCATATATGCCAGTGTTGAGTATGTAAAAAATTAATTTTGGAGATTTTATAACAATTGTATGTTGTGCAAACACCCTTTTCTTTTATCTTCTTTTCTTTTTATAAGAATTTTGAATAATTGTCTGTAACAAATTTGCATTTTACTTTTGTATTTCAACTTAAAAATTAAATCAATCTAAATCATTGGCTGATGAAGAAAACTGAAGTCACAAAACATTCAATAAAAAAATATGTTATATTTGATTTTATTTATGCATTTTCTTATTTGTCTTTGAATTTCGTATTTTTGCTAATCAATTATTGATTTTTTTAATACCATGTGCCTTCAGGCCGCAGATGATCATGATTCCCAGTGGCTTCTTTTTCTTTGTGTATTGTCATGATTGCTATTGAGAAAGATAGTGGAAAGGTTTTTTGTTGCTTTCTGCACGGTTTTGAATCCAGAGATCCTTCTCGTAGACTGTTTGCCAACCAAGGCTAGAGACCCCAGTCTACACTTACATTTTATTTTTACTCAAAGAGATTCATAATTTTCCAAAGAGCATTAATGCAAAGTAGTAAACGTTTCAGTCAGAATTTATAGATTTCATAGCTTATGTTAGTGTCACAAAACTAAATTGGAGGACATGGATGAATAAGATTATGTTGCACCAAACATTTGACCTTTGGTATCAACGAAAAATTTCACTTTCTTTTAGCAACCAACCAGCTACATTTCGTTGTACATTGAGAAATCAATTTATATCGGTTATGTCCCTTGACTAGCAGTTATTTCCCTTGATTGTTGTCGCTTGACAAAAAGGAATATCACAATTTCATTGCAAACTCATCATCATGGCGTCAGGAGCGTTATTCGGGTCTTCGGGAAATCGTTCCCAGACCAAAAATTTGGTGGAATTTCGGGCAGGGAGAATGAATCTCAAGGATAGAATGGTGCACCCGGACAAAAGAAAGGGTTTGGTGTATATTTATCAGGCAGACGATTCACTTATGCACTTCTGTTGGAAAGATCGAACTTCTGGCCAGGTCGAAGATGTAAGCGATTTTTATGTTATTTTTTCACCTTGCATCATTTACTTTCTATAATTGAATTGAGATCATACATTGTCTATATTTATTCTACTATCGACGTTTTCTTTTTATTAAGTGTTTGCAAACTCCTTTCGACAAGCTAATTTATATGTTTTTGAACAGACGTGTAAAAGGGGTTTAAAATAAAAATTAAGCTCAATTGAATACGCCTCTTAGATTTGATAATAATCATAAGCTGATTATTTTTTATTTCCACGTTTAATAAAAATATTCCTGTTATTTGGTCTCGCCATAAATATTAAAAATATATATTTTAAAAATTAAATTACTCACTGAGATGTCCAATTTTTGTGCCATGTCTTGTGTCTTTCTCTAAATACGTGATAAAGTTTTATCGAAACATCTCTACTGTGTTTTTAGCTTTCGCCTATTTTCGCCATTTTGAACTTAAAGTTTCAGTTTTTTTTTTTTATTTCTTTATTTTTCACAAGTAGAAAATAATCTTGAATATTTGGGTTTCAAGAAAGGAAACAGAGATTTAGTCTAACAAATTAATAGGGTCTAACAAATTAATAGGATCTCTGAATATTTTTTCTTTATCGTATTTTTTTTAATTTCGAAATTGTATTTTTGTTGAAAATAAACTCAATGTTTGTCTTTAGTACGAATTGAATATCGCAATTATTAATGAACAAAGTACAAAGAATATTTCTTTTAATTTGAAAAAGAAGCTTACCTTTTTTAAGATAAAAGGAAAAATCTCTCTAGATTAAATTTGTATAGCATTTATTTACATTAAAATCCCATTTTTAAAGTATCTCATTAAAAAAATAATTTTCTGTATCAATATTTAAAAAATAATTTAAAAAAATAACTTCTTTTACATACAACGAACTTTTAGCAAAAACATCAAAAAATGTGCCTTAAAAAATTATACCAAACATTTATCAGTTGTGGCTATAAATTGCAATTATTATGAGATATTATTGGATTTAATAATAATAATAATTATTATTTAGGAACAATAAAAAATAAAATTTGTATCCCAAAAGAAAAAAATAAATAAAAGAATTTATTTTCTTTTGAACAAAGAAAGTATTTCATTCAGTCATAAAGTTTGTTTTTTTTTATATATAGTCTGCTAGTGCTTGAGGAAATTAACATTTTATTTTTATTTTTTTTTTTTTATTTTTTTGTTCCTTCCTGAAATTTATGACCTAAATATTTCAACAGGTTTTCTTGTGTTGGAAATTTTTTCTTTAGGAACTAGATCTTCAGAAATTCTTAAAATATATTTTCTTTGTAATAGTAAAGTAAAAACTAACTTTTTAATGTGAAATTTTAGAACACAAATTAATCGTTAGACCACATGACCTCCCATCCAGAATTCTAACTACTGAGCTTTGAGCTACAATTATATTGAATCAGAAAATATTCTTTATTTTTTCTTCGATAAATAAATATATGTTCACTTTTTTAATTGTATTATCATTATTACTATTAGATATTTAGATATATTTCACAATTATGCAAAGTAATTTTTGCTTTCATTTGATAATAAAATGTACATCATTCAAATGAAACTGAAAGCTAAGTTAGTTTTTATTGGGTTGTATATTTTTTTTTTCATCATTTTTAGTTGTAAATTTAATATACATCTTGTAATATTTCTTCCTTTTCCTCAAAGGATCTGATTATCTTCCCAGATGACATAGAGTTTAAGCGCATTCCTCAGTGTACAACTGGAAGATGTTATGTACTGAAGTTTAAATCCTCTGTACGGAGATTTTTCTTTTGGATGCAGGTAAGAGGCTTTATTGAAATGTTCACTGTTCAATCAGAAAGAAAGTGTTTGTTTATTTTGTTCCATCTTATCCTCTGCAACCTTTTGTTTGGCATGAAAAGTAAACATCCTGACTTGTTAACAACTTGGTAGTACTGATAGCAAATACATTTTTTCTATAACAATTTCTTTTTAAATCTATAGAAGTTTTGGGAGAAAAACCACAACAAAAAATGAAAATGGTAGGCATATTTTATGAAAAAACAAAAAAACATTCAAAAGCACAGAAAATGTGTAGTCATTGAAAAAGAAGAGTGTATACTCTTACCTGTCTATAAATGGATAAGAAAAACAAGGACTTTATCTTCCAAAAAGGCTGCAGTTTTTATTTATTTATAGAGATATTTTCAGTACAAATGGAAACATTATACAATATTCAAAATAAAAAAAGTGTCAATTAACAGACTTTTTAAGTTAATTAAAATTAAGGTAAAATTTAATTTGTACCTGCAAAAAAAAAACCCCAATATGTCAAAATAACTTTTTTTTTCTCTTGCCACTGCTATTATTGTATACTTCCTCAGCAAATTTAATTAAACAATTTAATGTTTAATCCTTTTATTGTCGATTCTTGTGAAAAAAGAGTACATAAATCCAATTTCATATGTTTGGGTTTTATCAAAATTCTAAAAATAGCTTTTCAAAACAAATGATAGAAAGTGATGAGGGTGTAATAGTGTTAAGTGGAAAAAAAAACATAACTTTCGACAAACTATTTTTTTTTTTTTTTTTTTTTTGTGGGTACATAGGTTAAACTTTGCTTTGCCAAAATTAATTTGTAGAATTTTTAGAGTATATGTAATATAAAAAATAGTTCGTTATTTCACTGTGAATTTTTGCCAAGAATTTAAAACTTAACAAAAAAGGTTTGCAAGATTATTTACAGAAAAATAATTATGGTGCTGATTGTTAGTTTTAATAGAACATTTTTGAAATCTCAAATATTAGATTTATAAAATATATGGAATTGTAGTTTAATATTGAAAGCTTTTTTGTTTTAAGTGAATAATTTTGTAAATAAAATGATAAATAGAATTTACATTTATGAAACTCTTGTCTAATTGGGATCTGTTAGTGATGTTAAATTTTTACTTGACTTTCTTTTTTTATAACAGGAACCGAAGAGTGAGAAAGATGATGAACTTTGTCGGAAAGTAAATGAATATCTAAACAACCCACCCAACCCTAGTGTCAACCGAAACAATGTTTCAGATCTCCCTGGTTTGGGTAAGTTTTGAAATGTCAAATCTTTCACTTTTGTTTATATCTTTTTCTACTTGCATTTTCATGTAGAATCTGTTTCATTTTATTCAATAAGTTGATTATTGAAACCCTCAACATATATTCTTGTCTGCTGTTAGAGTATCTTTCTATGTCTATCCAAAATTCTGGCACATCACAAACATTACTGACTAGTTTGCCAATTTAAAATAAAAAAAAAAAAAAACTTGATTGATGGAATAAATACCTGACACTGCATGTTGAGAAAGAGAACTGAACAAATCAATCTGCATAATGCAACTGAAATGTAAATATGTCTTTTCTTACGTTGATAAATGTCAATTTCACAAGCAGCAATCTGGTGGTGTGGTGAGATTTATCATAAAAAGAATGTGTTATTAATCAAATCAAGTGATTGAATCCACATTTTTAATAATAGTTTATGTGAAAACAGAAGAAATTCAAGTTTCTTTATTTAAAGACTAAATGGCTGACATGATTTGCATTTCCCTTAGTATAATTTCAGGCCACTAATGAACATTTTGTCTTTAAGAGAGAAAGCGAATATGTTTATTCAAATTTAAAAATTATTACCCAATGATATATACGGTAAATATTTTGAAGTGTAAATTAGACAATTTCTGGTTTCACTGAAATGTTAAGGAGAGAATTAAAAATAAATGGTCATTTTGTGAATGCCTTTAATTATTTGGTTAGCTTATGTCCTTTTTCATAAGAAAAAAAGTTTTGATTTAAATTTTGCTTCAGCTTCCCTTTTTTTTCCCTTCCTTTATAAAAATCAACAAGTTCATGTATTTAAACCAAATAACTACTAGCTCTGTATATTACAGCATGCACTTAAGAATGCTCAGTTGACTTGGTAAATAAACCTCTGAGATTGTCACTAATCTATGCAGAGCAAGAATAGCTTTTACTGTAGCCATTAGCCACAAATTGCTTTGATGGATAAGTGATTTCTTTGGGAATGAGTAGAAATGAAATTCTTAGAATAAACTAATCAACAATGAAATATTTGTTTTCAAATCACATGATTGTATTCCCATAATGATCCCTTGTTTAATGTCTTTAAAAATAATAGTTTTGTATATTATGATAGCAGTGGTAAGCAGAAATATTACTTTGGACTTCAAACAGGACTCTTGTTGCTGTAGGAAAGAATCTTCCCTATAGTTAACAACTCTGGAAATTGTTCTACCTATTGATTGAGAGAGATCTCTATCTCTCTCTCACACACACATACACAAATATATATATATATATATATATATATATATATATATACACACACACATTGTGTATTTAGGCAGCAATCCCTCTTTTATACATGTTTCATTAAAGATGACAGACAAGGTACTGCTGATAAGCTTTTTATTTAACTTTTCTTGTGTTCAAACAAGTGTTTTCTTTTCTGGACACAGTGTGTAGAAACTGTCCAAATGTTCTGTAATTCCAAGCACTTTTGGCTTTACTTTTAGCCATTATCAAGGATGATATTTTTTATGTTAATTGGATGTATGGGTTATGTGTATGTATCTAGAGTTTCTACATGCTCTTTGTCCAGAAAAGAAAACACTTCTTCAAATACAAGAGAAATTAAATAAAAAGCTTTTAATTGCAGTACTTTGTCTTTAATCGATGAAATTATTTGTACACCCATCAATTTTTAATATATTTATCAATTTCTCAGAATCTAATACCTGCAGTTTTTTATGTTATTAAGCACAAAAAAAAGAATATAAAACTGCATTTTTGGGAATGATAAATAGGTTAAATACAACAAATTTGACAGGCGAATTATGCAAAATAGGAAAAGACTAAATTATTTGTACAGTATGATGAATAGAATTATATGACAGGCAGCAACTCTGACCCTCAAATCACAATGCTTACCTATGACCTTTTGAAGTGTCATGTCAGACAAAGTCCAATTATTAAAGAAGTGGAATTCCTCTTTTTGTTCAATTTACATGATAAAAAAATTGATTGTTTTGTCCCATATAGCTCATTTTAATCATCTGGACAGTGTTTTATTTATAAATGGTCACATTTAAGGTTTTGATCCAAATTTATAGTGACAATTTTTTTTTTTTTTATGTCTTTACAGACATTTGGATATGAATGTTTAACTACAACCTGGTTGAAATTTTAAAAGAATTTTTTTTTTTTTTTTTTTTTTAATTTAGAGGTAAATAGGTTCACTTATAATCTAGTTCACACTCCTCCCTGATCTTTGGAATGAGAGTAGTGGTTTATCCTTTGTTTCCTGACTAGGGCTAGGTTTCCAGTTCCTTCTAAGGTTTTCTCATTCTCTTTTCCTCCCGGTCGCTCCTTGTGTCTTAGTGGCACTATTACCTTGCTTGAGGATGAATTGATTAAAAAAAAAAAAAAATTTCAATACATTAATCTTGCTGTAGTCTTTGGGTAAAGATGTTAATAGAACTAAAATTGACTCTACTGCAATTTATTTGACAGTGGTACTACACATGGCAACACTATATATAGCCTTTCAATAAGGAATAAACTCCACCAACTCCATACAAGAAAGCAACAAAGTTTGTGTGTGTGTCTACACACACACACACACACACACACACACAGCCTTATAACCAGAAATGTCATTACAATATGAAAGAGTACATATCAAATTATAAGCAAAATTACCACACTCTCTCTTGCTAAATAAAATCCACATGATACTTAAAAAAAAAATAAAAAGGCCAACTTAGTTTATGCATAAAACCTAAGCCATCATACTGCAATAAATGACTAAAATCATAGATTCAAGCATTTAGGTTTGGCTTGTTTTATTGCATATCAACCTCAATGCGTTATTTAATGCCAACAAAATTTTTATTGCTGGTAATAATTTTTCCTCAAAAAAATTATTGCTGGTGTTAAAACCTATTTTTGCACTTTTTGAATTCCAGTCAAATCCATTACATTAACTTACATGCTAATACCCTTGGGAAAGGTATGAATCCTCCTCTTCTCCCCCCCCCCAATCAGCTATGGGTAAATAGCAGGACAGACCAGGTTCTGTAATCTTGCATGGCAACTGTTCTACCGCAGAAAGAAAAGGCAACCTACTGTGGGGGGAAAAATCTGCCTCATCGGTCATGTATCTTTCGATACATGATTGCCTAAGCATGTATCATGCACATAACTGACTGAGTGGTGTTTTGACCAGTTTGGGAGTTCATTATTTGCTGATAGCTGGGACCCTAACAGGTGCTACCATCCAGGACAGGGTGGACCTGGGAACACCGGCACCATGCTCCTCAAAGCCACCTGATCAGAATCCTTGCTGTTAGATGTAGTTTATTGTTTTACCCAGGATGCCCCCAAAATGGACTGCTTATGTAGTTACAGTTTGGTTTGGTTTACAGCATATCAACTTAGGTGGCTTGCATCTATGTTCAGATTGTCATAATGTAGCCTTGTTATGAGTACCGTTCATCTGAGGAAATCAGTGACTCACAGAAAAAATCTAATCAGCTTCATTCTGCATAGTGTTTTGGTCAGAATTCACATCATGACTGACATTATCATTTGATACATTCAGGTTGTTAAGAGTTAGGGTTGAGTCCTGAATTTCAAACAGGCTATTTCATTACTGGGGCGAAATCTCTGAGTGACACAATTGTACCTTTACCATTATGAAGACACACATGACTGTAAAGAGGATTTGCCACAGGAAGTTTGGATTTTTCAACAATAGATAATTCTTTGTCTGACATAATGCCTCAAGAAAAACATCCGAGCAAAACCATGTTGGAATAGAACATTTACTAATTGATCTGTTGGAAATTAAACAAGCAAACACATGGAGTGGCATTAATAGAAGTTGATAGCTACTTGCCTATCGAATATAATGCATCCTATTGAAGTTCTTAATATGTCATAGGCAAACATTAAGAGTTGAGTGCCAGGTTTGCTGCCTGCCTTATAATTATACATTATACTATTCATACTTCCTATTGCCTTGGAGATTATAACAGGTGGTCTGTCTAGTGGTAATTCCACAGCTTTGTAAACAATTTCTTACATTCAGAGATATATAAATGAAGTATCACTGTGGTAAGACATGAATATGTGTACATCAAATAAAACTGGTTGAAGCAATGGGTCACTGTTGAAGATGTTACATCTGAACAATCAAAAGAAAAGAGAGAGAGAGAGAAAAAAACTTGTGTATTATAGTAAATAAGTATCAGTTGATTGGCAAAGGACCCTTAACAATCAACACCAGAGTCTCCTAAGTATTACTGTTACCTTGAACAAATTTCTTACACTGGGTTAAAACATTTTTTTTTTTTTTTTTTTACATTCTCAACAGTGTTAGATTTGTTGTTCTAATAAAGTACAACATTCATATAACACGTGAAAGATAAAGAGAGTCGTACATTGAAACTGACATTGAAATTGAACAATATGTCCTAGACAAAATATCTGAAGTAATATTATCCCTCTTAGGGTGATACTTTGTCAAAACTCAACCCTCCATCTGTAAATTTTATTATTATTAATTTGACTAGACTGCTTAGAATCAAATATTAATGCCATTGATTTCTGCTCAGTAAGAAGAGGAAAATGGCATCCAGTTGTGTCTGCACTTGTGCATGGCCTCCATTATAGCATAGACCTAATGTTCTATTACTGAGTATGTTTTTGTTTCTGGTATTTAGAAAAACAAGACCTGCTGAAGTGGAGGATATAAAACTAACCAGGATTCTCTTGGCCATTCTGAATGCGGCAGAAGCCCAACACCAAATCGCCTTGAAAATTAATGGCTGCTTTGTGGCATGCAGTGCATCAGTTAGATACAAGCTGTTCATTTGAGTCTTGCATAGTTTGGGATTTACCCTAACTGGTAGCCACCTGTCCAATTTGATGCAGATGACAAGCAACCACCTTTTTTAATCTGAGAACAAGCCCAAATTAGATGGTGTGCTCCAAGTCTAAATAACAGGGTGAGTCCAATAAGTACCAAGAGAGACATTTGGAGAAAGCTCTAGAGAATGGTCTACTATTGTAATAAATCCAACTGTATTAAATCTTTCATAATTTTTTTTTCTTTTTTCTTATATAGGTGAATCTGATTTACATAACATTTTAGGAAATATGAGCCAGCAGCAATTGATGCAACTTCTTGGTAAGTAAAATCTGTTTCAAATTTGCAATTTGATAATTCATTCTGCCTCTCTTGGAATTTCTTGAATTCTTTTTTTTTTAATCTTAATATTTAAAAAAAAAAAAATTGCACAAAAATTCATTGTCACCTGTAGAAACTGATGTTTATAATATAATATTTATGGGTAGAAGTGGGTGGGGTATTTGTTCACATTATAATTTTTTTTTTTTTTTTCCATTTTTAGGTGGAATGGGAATGCCTGCTCAGAATAATCTAAATCTTTCCACAATTTTGGGCCGGCCAGGAAACTCTTCAACCAGTGGTTCTGACTCGTAAGTACTATCATTGATGGCTTCTTGCTTCTGAATTTTAATTTTGTTTGATGTTTATCCCATTAATGCATTTTCTGCTGTACTCAAAGTAGAGGTTATTTGGAAACCTGTCTACAGATGTGAACACAAATTGGCTAAAATGCACAATTACTTCTATGTTATTATTATTATTTTTTTTTTTTTTTTTTTTTTGCATTTTTTTCAAAACAAAAAATGAGTTGGCCATTTTTTAGGGTCCTGATCATAAACCTCTAAAAAAAATAATTTTATAAATGTGCTACCTTCATGCATTGTAAAATTGCTTTCTCAACTTCTAGAGTGAATGATTTTCAATAATCTAAGACAATTTTCAAAATGCACATACCAAACAGTTGCACAATTTTTTTTTTTTTTTTTTTTTTTTTATAGAATAATTCATTTGAAATGTCAATTTGTAAAAATTATGAATCTCTTAAATTAGGTCACTCCACTAAAATTGCGATACCTAAGGTTTAAATTAATTTCAAAAAATGAAAAGGCTTTCATTTTAGCTTTAATTGAATTGAAAGGTAAAGGATTAAATTTACTATTTCCAGTAAGCAAAATACTCTGGTGTATTTCAAACAGAAATTATATTGATTGGAATTGATTTTTCATTTTTGTTTTGCTGAAATAGCTGATTAGCAGAATTTTTTTTATCGTCTTTAATCACAACGTAATTCTCTTTATTAAAAAATCTTCCAAAAATATTTTTCTAAAACTTTATTTGAGGAATATTACCTGATTTAAAATATAATTAATCTCATTTGAAACAAATATTATTTACTTTTGCTTTTCAATTTTTGATTAATAGTTTTCACTTAATAATAATCACCTAATGTGATCAAAGTAATGCAGTAATTTATTATTATGATGATTGAAGTTTTTTTTTTTAAAAAAAAAGTAAACAATTCTTGTAAAAAATTCATTATTTATCGAAAAATAATTTTTTCTTAGCACAATAGTGCCCTTAGATCTTATTTGTAAAAGCAAGCTTTTCTAATTAATGTTATCGTTTTATTACATTTTTTTTTTATTTTACAATCTGGAGCAGATTTTCAGGAAATGAATAATTTGGGGGGAAAAAATTGATTTACATTCTCTAAGGAGTCTTGCTTTTAACCAATAAAAAAAAAAAAAATTACAATCAAAATTTCATAAAATAAGTGGTGGTAACAATTGTAAAAAAAAAATATTTTTAGTGAGATTTTTCTATAAAAAAAAATAAAAAATAATTTGTGAATAAGTCCTGAAAATCTCATTAAAATCTGACAATTACTTGACTTTTGCAATCAATGTGTTTTTTTTACTGGAAAAAAAAAAGGTACTAAAATTCCTATAGTAATCTTTGGCCCACCACTGACACATCAAAAAACTAGATTTTCAACCAAAATTTTGAATGTGCTAGAAAGGATTAAAAAATTTGATAGAATAATAAAAGAAAAATACTTTGGTTGGTTTTTCCTCTTCATAATATAAACATTTACATCATGCTATGCTCTTTTTTAGCGAAAAGTGAAGGTACCTATTTTAAATAGATTTTTTTTTCTTTCTCAGTAGCACCAGATTGCAATCATCTTTGGGGACCCGAAATTCATCCACCTCAAGTGATAGTTTATCTTCTGCTGCCCGTCCTGCAACCGCAACTGCCTCCCTCACTTCTCAGACCACAGATTCAACTGCTAGCAACAGCAGCACTAGTACAGCTTCAGCCAGCAGTGGGGCTGTTGCCAGTGGAAGTAGTAGTAGTAGTAGTGGTGGTGGTGGATCCCGACCAGGTGATACACCTTGGCAACAAATTCAACTTAGTGATTTACAGAATATATTGTCCAATATGCAAGGTAAGAAGTGCATAAAGAAATTTTTCTTGTAGCATATATATATATATATATATATATATAAGGAAATGGATTTAGACTGACAGTTGTTTAATATATTTTCTGTTTATATGTTATTTTTATAGATCTTACATTATTTTTATAGTTATAATTGAATGTGTGTATATATAATTCCAAATGTTATAGTGGATACTCATATTTGAAATACACTCCATTTTCATTTTTCCTTTAAACAGTGTTTGTTACACTCTAACAGTGTGCATACTGAAGAAACTCACTAAAGAAAATGTGATCTCTGCTAAGAATTGAACCTGTGTCCTCCTTTTTCAATGAGGAACTACTATTTGATCTGGTGTGCTTTACCCCTCAGCTATGAAGTATGTGACAGTACAGCAAGGTTCTATTGCCCACTTTTTAAATGTTGATTTCTCTGCAAATGTGGAGCCCATTTCAAATATGGGTAGCCACTAAAAAGTAAATCCATTAATTCTTTATTTATATAATCATTGCTATTATAGAAACCAACAATGAAAATACATTAGCACTGAGACACCTAAAATGCACTAAAGAATCGAGCAAGAAATAAGGAAATCCACATTACTCCCTTTGACAAGGGAGGAGGAGAATGTAATCATAAACAAGAATAGATACACAGAAAAAATTAACTTGCTATTCAATGATACTGAAACACAAAAATTCAACAAGGAAATCAGGAAACTAATTAAAAATGAAAACAAATTATCATCCTAGAACACCCAAACTGTGTCTCCCTATGTACCTCATCATTTCAGGAATAGACAGCGCCCTCCACCAACTAGCTATATAGCACACATGCCCCGGTTTATCCTGGGTTAACCCTATGCCGGTTAGTACTGTTGTCGATCAACTGGTTGTTGGTTGCTGGCCATTTCAATCCATACCATTTCTGCCCACGTGTTCTTTAATCTCAGAGCAGTGAAGCTAAAATATTGTTTGTAATTTGGAGTGCTAGTTCCAGCCATGGCAAAGCTGTATTATGAAAGAAATAAAATATCTTCTCACAGACAAAATAAAAATGGAAAATTTGTTGGGTTAGTTTTAGATTCGTTTATATAGTTCTTGGTACAAAAATCAACCCTTTCCTCTTTGAATTTCTATAGTGACACTTTGCTCTTCTAAATTTTTAAATGGGGTTCAAGGTCAGGAATTCTTCCAGCAGCAGGTCACACAGGGTTTTGGTAGCAGCTTGTCTGCTGTTTGCGTCTTTCTCTCTCTGCCTGAGTTGCGAGATACAATCTGCTTATTGAGTCTGGCATTGGTTGAACTCGTCTGGGTGTTTCGGTAATTCCCATCTTTTGGATTTAGTTGTAGGTATCGCATGCCCCCCCCCCTTTATAACTCCTCCTTTCTCTTATTTATGCCTTGCACCATTACTTCCAAATGGGCGGAGGTAAATTTTCTCCTTTTGACATTCCATCCAAAACCATCCCCCACAGGGAGGTTTTGACAATTCTAATTTTAAACTCAGTAGGGAAAGGGGCAGTCTTACTTTAATCATAGAGATTATTATTTCCCAGCCTTTGGTATGGTTTGTTTTATTGCATCTCCAACCAGTCATCTCGCTTCCACAGCCCTCTAGTTATCATGCAGACAACCCTTACAGTCTGTTTCTCATTTCAATTTCCTTTTCAGGTGACAGATTGTCTGGTCTCCCGAGTTGTTTATATTTCAGATGGCCCTTTGGCCTGGCAATCATAACGTCAATTTTTGTTGATGGCCATAAAACAAATATTATTCCCCAATTCTGTTTTTAATTCCCATGGTTAGCAAATAACAACTGTAGCAATTTCAGCTCACATTTTTACATTAACCCCTTTAGTCCCACCAGTGTCACAGCAAAAAATTTTAACTCCCTCTCCTTGGAACAATAAGTCCATTGAAAATGTAAGGGAAACAAATATGACTAACAAACTCATGGCCACTCTAGATATAAAATCACTTTACAGTACACTGACTCAATTGAAAAAAGACTTAAATCTTAAAAAAAAACAAAAAAAAACAGCATCCAACACAATCAAAGATAAACCTTAATAAAATCTGTCTCATCACCAATCAATACTATTTCACATTTAAAAAAACAATTTTTACAAACAAAATTTTGTATTATCAATAGATTGTCTATCAGTGGAGTGATAGCACATATTTTCTTGAGTCTGGATCTTTCCAAAACATTTACCTAAACAATCAACTTATTCCTGATATATTGATGATGCTCTATTAATATATCCCTGTGATACTGACTTAACGGATCTTGTAGATGAACTAAACAAAGTCAAACAGACAACAGAATTTACATACGAAATAGAAAAAAAAACAAAAAAAAACAATACTATACTTTACCTTTCTTAGACATCATGTTACGCAGAGTTGACAACAGCCTAGAGACTGTCTACTGAAAAAAAATCAACCAATAAAAATGACTTAATAAACTTCTATTCTCATCATAACAACAAAATAAAGTCTGGAATGATCATTGGATTTTATTTAAGAGCACTCAGAATTTGCAGGCCTCAATATTTAAATGAAAAGGAGAAATATATATAAAATACTTTCAATACCCTAACTTTTTCATATTCAATTTAAAACAAAAGGCTCATAAAATATTCCAAAATAGAAAAGTTGTCCTTCCTGACAAAACCAACGTATCAAAAATATATATTATTCTACCCACTATCACAACTATAACCGAAAATAATTTATCTAAACTCAACATAAAATTTGTCAGAACTACATCGAAAACAATAAAAAAAAAACTTGGAGGAATTTACTCATCAACTGCAAGGATTGCCAGAACAAATATATTGGAGAATCCTTGAAAAGTTTGAATAAAAGATTATATGAACACAAGACATTTTTAAAAAACAATACACAAAATGCATTGGGTGTTCACTAGTAAAACTGACCACAATTTTGACAGATGAAAAATACTGCTTTAATTAAGAGAAAATAATTCACTAAGACGAAAATGTTTAGAAAGTGCTTTAATCATTAATTCAGCTACAGTAAAGGTTCTTACAGCGACGTATCACCATTCTTGGCAGGTTTCCTGTTAGCACAGCGTGGGATATTTAAAAACAAAGATGATGGAAAGAAAAAGAATATCGAATTTGGCTAGGTGCAATTCTTTCCAAAAGTTTTGAAACTACCAGCCCCATCGTTCATGTGCATGTGTAGTCATAACAAATTCACTTTTTCCATTTCTGCCTCTCTCTCGCTCATATGTCTATTTTTTGTGATTGAGGTTATCAAAGTTGGTTTGACACCCCCCCCCCCAAACTGTTCATCATATTAAAGTTAAACTGGATTGATAAAAACAATTTAGACTTCATGAAAAGACTTGAAGATTCTTATTTATAAAGACTAAAATACTTTGCAATAGATTCCAACTGATTAAGTTTATGAGATGTGCATTTATCTTTGTTTTCAGCAACTGTCTTGTTTTAGTCGACTATATTTCCATATCTTATTCAGCTTTATCGACAAACTAAGGATATTTATCAAACATTGTTAAATAAATCCTTCCCACTATCTCTATTGAAAGTTCAAAAGGTCATTCATGAACTGCTTGCAAATTCTCCTTTTTAAGATTTTCAAAATAAAAATTTCTTGACTTGCTTTTTTTTTTTTTTTTTCAATTTCTTGACTTGCTTTTTTTTTCTCTACTCCTTTCAAATATTCAAACTTTTTCTCTTTCAGTTCCTGGTGATAAACCTCAAGACAGTGAGTATATCTCTAGTTTTTTTATGCTAACTAAAAATTTACATACAAATATTTTATAATTTCACATGACTACAACTTTTTTTTCTGCACCTATCAAGCAATTACTTGAGTCATTTAAATCTATTTGATGCCTGCAAAAACTAAGTCCATGAAATTATTTTTGTTCAAATTTTTCTTTACCTTTGTATTAAAAACATTTTTTTTTTTTTTTTTCTATATTTTATTTCAAGCTCTTGAATTGTCTCAAGTGTTGAAACCTGACGACATCATCCCTATCCTGGCCAATGCAGATATCCAGAAGCACTTGATGGAACATCTTCCTGAGGGAGAAATGTTACCTCGAACTGAAGAAGAATTGCGAAATACTGTCAAATCCCCACAGTTTCAACAGGTACCATGCAGATGTTTTTTTTATCCCCCTCCCCCCATATTAATGGTGGGGAGGGGACAACTGAGTTTTAGATATGAATTAGTCATATGGAATTTATATTTGAACACTGAAATATATATGGCATCTCTAAGAAAAACTAACCAGAAAATGTTTAGTTTTTATTGTGAATTTTTTTTAATGGAAACTATTTTGTAATTTGCAGGCTCTTCAATCATTTAGTGCTGCTCTCCGATCTCGAGAACTAGGCCCTCTTATGACCCAATTTGGGCTGGGAGATGATGTGGCAAAGGCTGCGGCTGAAGGAGGTTGTTTTTTTGTTTTTTTTTCTCTTAAAAATTAGTAATTTTTACATGCTTTTTGTAAGTGCATTAAAAGCATAATTAATTTGATAAGACATTTTAATGCTGGCTTTGCATTTGATTTCCTTAAAATTGAATCTCAAGGAGATGATTAAGAACAGATTAATCCCTTTTTTTATTTATAATTTCTAGTTAGTAAACTAAAGAGCCAAATATTTTCTTTTGTCTTTTCAGATCTTGAGGCTTTTGTAAAAGCTTTGCAGGAAGCTCAGAAGAAAAAGGCAGAGGGAAAATAGATCAGTGTAACTCTGGAATTATATTCCTTTTCTTGTGGGTTTCATTGAATGAGGTGGTCATCCCCCCCCTCCTCTTATCAGATTAATATCTTACTAAAAATAAATAAATCTATATGCAGGCATGTTTATTTATGTTGAAACTTTTTTTTTTTTATTTAATAAATGAACTGCTTCCAAGTTAGGCAGAGAGAAATTTTAACAAGGTTTACTTCAAGCTGGTGTTTTTTTGTTTTTTTTCCCACCCCTGCCAAGTAAAGGATCCTGATTACATAGTTTATATTAGAAACAAACAAAAAAATAAATGCTTCCCTCTTGAATAGATTTTTTTTTTTTTTTTCTTTCTCCCCAACATGAAGGGGAATGTCATTTTCTCTTACTCCAGACAACATTTACAAAACAAACATCAAGGCCAAATAATTTCAAATTGATTTATTTCTTTTTCTGTAACAAGAATGAGTGAGCATATGTCTGTGTGGGAGATGCACACGTAGATATCACAGATGGGGGTCATTGACCGCAACTGTAGCTCAAAGTCTATTCCTTTTGTCATCCAAAGGGCCCCTGGATGAATAGAGGTGGGTAAGCTGTCCCCAAGATAAGTGACTACTTACTGTACACTGCAGTTGCAAAGGGTAAAAGTGGCATGGGTCAAGCTTCAGCTGGATTATAATAAATAGAACAGGGATCCTGCCCTCGGACTTTTTTACTGGATCACTGCATGCAAAAGAAGTGGCAGTTTCATGAGTCCAGAATTAAGATGCCATTGAGGTAAGATATTCTGTTTACAATGATGCTCACATGGCTGAAGTCAAGTAAAAAAAAAAAAAAAAAAAAAAAAATCTAACAATTAAAAAGCATTTCAATCCTTTTATATTTAAAGTAGAAAAAAAAATCTAGCACAGTGATAGTCAACAAGCCAGATTACCTAACCATTTGCCAATGGAGTGAATTCAATCCTCACAAAGTGGTGTTGTTTTGGAAAAATTGGCATGATCAGACAAAACATTTCAAAAAGGTTTCAGCATTTTTTTTTTTTTTTTTTTTAAATATGTACAACTGAATTAAGTTTCTATTCACTATTGTCATTTAAAAATTTCTTTGAACTAATTATAATTTAGAAAATGTAAGAAATTGCGAGACATTTGACTGAATGTTTTGTTTTTCATTTGCAAACTGCTTTTTACTTTCTTCAAATTAAGAGGAAAAATTATTAGAATCCTTCCTCTCTCTCTCTCACTCTGAATCTGGCATCCCTATCTTCTGTCTGTAAACATTTCGAGATCACTTGAGTTTAGAAATTCTGTTCACTTATTTTCCTGCCCTCTTTCTCCACAAGCAAAAGTATGGAAGGGACCAAATAGAAAATACTTCAGCTGAAGGCTGCAAGGGTGAAGGTTCAACTTGACCAGTGCACAAATAGCAACATTTTCAATTTAAAATACTGATTCTTCTTTCCCTTCCCCTGTAAAAGGGTACATTGCTCTGCCAGGCACACTGCATTTAAAATGCTGTAAGGAATTTGGAACCAAACCTTTTTGAAGATTGGAGTTCTCTATCTTGCTTAGATAAATCTGAAGCACTTCTGTTTGTCCCGTGGAATTTTTGTCTTGAAAAGAACAGAGTCGACACGAAACTGTGTATATAGAAGCGGCATATAGCCATAGACTTTAGCAAAGAAGTTGATGCATTTGTGCCGTTCCTCAAAGTGGGTTTCATCTTTAGCCAGAGCCTGGGAACAACCAGGGCAACGGAATGTCCAGCGTGAAGTGACCTGAAGAAAAAGGTTGAAAATAAGATGAGACTGTTTGAAAGAAATTTTGGCAATATGTGAAATTTGCTTTTGTTTTGTGCTTTAAAAGCAAAAGTGTATTTATGAAAGAAAATCTGGATTTCATTTGCAGTAACCAATGTCTAGTTTAGGGAAATATTTTCAATTCAAATATGCAAAAACTGGATGTTGAGGCTTGAAGTTATGTTCAAAAGAAGACATTTGATGTGCTTATGAGGAGGTAGTGGTGGTGTGTGTGTGTAATATGATTCATCAGCCCATAGAAGAGAAAGTAAAAACTAAATGATAAAAATCCTAAAACAAATAATATATTGTCTCTCTGGAGAAAGTAAAGCTATTTTTTGGTTTACTAATGAATACTTACCTTGATTGGAGGTTTTCTGGTCAGATGTGCAACTAAAAAGTTCATAGCAATGTCTTCACAGTTGATATAATCATCCACCTTGTCTCTAATGGCTTGTGGCATGACATACGAATACATGTAGGCATAATACTGAAAGAGAAAATGGAATTGTCACAAAGTATTCAACATACAGTGAGATATCAGGCAAATGTATGATTTTCATTAAAATACACACACTTTTCTGATTTTTCATCTCCAGTCTAGAAAATTGTTGCTGTTATTTGAAATTCTTATAAACTTTCTTAAATTGACAATTTTAGTCATTAAATAATGTTAGATATTTTTTTTGATTTTTTTTTTTTTTTTTTTTTTAACATTGAATAACCAAACCCAGCTTCTGAGGCCAATGTTGATTAGCGCTTATGCCAGATTAACTGAAAAATCAGGGGACATGAGTGAAGGATAGATTTGGTGAGTCTTGGTACAGACTACCATGAAATGAATATTTTTGTTATAATAATAAAATGTGTCTACCTTATGGAAGAAAGCAGCGCCTGTTAACACCATGGACAATTCACAAGAATGACTGGCATTGTAGTGCCAAGCCTTTTCAGCAGCGTGCCAACCATGATAACGGCCAGGGAAACCAACAACACGATCCCGAGATTCACGCCACACTCTGAAAGAGACAGGAAATAGAATTAATATACATATGTATATAAAGGAAAAAATTTGGGTATTATAAAATTATGGTTGTGAATTGAGGTGCAATCTACCCGACATTTGTTACAATGAAGATCCATGCAAACACAATTGGTTTCAAAGAGGAAAGAGAATTCATCACATTTTATGCATCAAATGAAAAATCTTATCAAATAATGAATAGATAAAATTCTTACATAACAAACAAACAAACCAACATAGTGAATTTGAAAATGAGAAAAAATAAATTGTTATTAAGGGAAGCAAACACAAATGCCAACATTTCATGCCTGTTTCAAATGTTCTGTCTCGTGTAAGCCACTGGATTTTCATGGTTGCAAAAAATAGCAAATACTTTATGGAAATGTAAGCTAAGAATTTGAATCGACCATGACTGAGTGGCTCATAAATGTAGTCTTTGGCAAAAATTGGCTTAGTTTAGAAAATTATAAATTGGGGAGGTATATTTTCTCATTTTTCAACATAATCTTCCTTGTTTAATCCAACACTTCTCCCTTAATAATAAAGGTAACATTTCAGCTAATAACTGCTGGGCTACAGATTTATTGATCCATTCTCACATGGACAATATTTCCTTTTATGTTCGATAAATGACAAACAAAATTGCCTTTTACTGCCTCTTAGATGTGATGGTGCCACAAGAAATCAATCAATAATGAAATGATACAGAGATGTTTAAACAACAAACTAACCTAAAACCAAAAATAATCTCATCGTGTCGGAGGTGAACATCATCGTCAATACTTAATATGGCTTCCGTCTCTATGACATCAAATGGTAGGAACCTGTTGTTCAGTGTGTTGCGATCTGTTTTCACCACCTGAAAGGGGAAAGAAAATTCAGCAAAATGAGAAATCAAATTTCATGGAGAAGAACAGTAGTAAGTAAACAAGAAAAGTAAAAATAAGAGATTAATGCATTATATGAAGAAGCAGATGCAAAAAAAAAAAGAAATATGAGTTTTGTGATATCAATTATCAATTGTGGCAGGCAGTAAATAGAATTAAATTTACTCAATCTCCAAAGAAGAAAAAAAAAAGAAAGATGTCCATAAATTGTGGGATTTCTAATGTGATGATGACCAGTAATCAAGTGAAAATATGAGTTATTATAAATAATCCTTTGTTAAAATTGTCAGGCAAAAGTTTTGTCTGACACAGCCAATCAGTAAGTTGGAAAACTTTTTGCATCGGATTACAACCATTGTCAAGAATTTTCAAGTGAAACTTTCACAGAAATACTTATTTCTTGTTTTTCTTTTAAAGTTTTACTTTTTAGAGAATTTGAATTTGTTTAATCAGGAATCCTTTTTAAATAATTTCTGAAGATAGAGATTGTTACCCTGTCAAGGCTGACTATGAAAATAATTTTGCAGCTATTGCCTGAGCTTTTGGTATGGAAGAGTGGTTTATCCAAGTGTTCCATCAATTATTTATGAAGAATTTTGGTAAAATATCAGGCAATGGGACTGAGCACAGGGTGAAGTAGTTCATGCCTTCTCTAAAAGCAAAGCAAACAAAGCTTTAAATGGAATTAAAATTCTCTTTGCCAAACATTTCTGCCTCTTTAAATTCATTGCAGAAATCACAATGCTTTAAAACTGTCTAACAAAATTGACAAATCTCAAAAAAAGATATTACTTTTTCCCATAAAAATGGCCAATTTCCTGACAGGATTATTAAAAAGGCTTCAGTGGCTACAAATTAACAACATCAACATTTCTTTTTTTGTAACTGGATTTTTTTTTTTTTTTTTGATGATTGTTGTCAGGCAACAATAATTATGAAAATACACTTGAATGACACTGGAAGATTTAATGGAAACATGTCATAAAATGGGGACATTTGCAGGGAGAATATTTTAAAGCCTTCATGGAAAGAAAATAAAATTGTCCAAATTAGACATTTCTATTATTGTTTATCTTATTTTTATTGGAAGGTTTTTTTTTTTTTTTTACAATCTGCAGGACATTTTTCTCCATTCTATAACCATTAAGCCATCAACATTTTAAACAGTTTAATCACAGGAACACATCAGCAGGCATCATACAAATTTAGTTAGATAGCCACATTGTCTCAATTGATTTTCTCTGTGCTTTTTTTTTTTTTTTTAAACACCTTATAATAATTTTAGGATGTCGGAATTTTATCAATTAAGCAGAGACGAGAGGTCATATCTTATTGGAAATTATTACTTTAAATGGGTGTAGAAAAAAAAAAATGAGCACGGTGATAAAAAATGAAATGAAAAATAAACTATTCCCCATACTAAATAAAATAAAAAATAAACAATCCTCCCAACAAAAAAAAAAAAAAAATTTTTTTTGGCTCCGAGATACTTTAGAATATAAAGAAAGTGTAATAATAAAAAAAAAATGTTGAAATATCTAAAACAAACTTTATTTGTCAAGTGTTAACCCAGGCACACAATCACCCCACCACTGACCTACTGGTAGCAAACCAGACTGGTCTTTAAAGGAAGATTTCAAATAAAAAAAAAAAAAAATTCTTTTTGTAACTTACACTTATAGGAACATTAATGTCTGGCCAGTGGAGATCAGGAGAAGGAGGTTTGGGGCTGTTCCACACAACTACCACCCTGTTGAGATGGGGTACACCTTTTAATCGTTGCAGGGCACTGACCAACACAGCTTCCCGTTCATAAGTCAACATCACAACTGAAAGAAAGAAAGAAAAAAAAAAAAGCAAATATTTTTAGAAGAGAAAGTCTATTTAAGCAACATTAGTGGCTGTTGGTTGTTGCACACCAAACACAAGCGAAGAAATAAGAAAATATCTTTAGCAAAAGGAACAACTAACAACAAACTATTTTTTTTTTCTGCAAAAACTTGGATAATGCTTGGAAACTTTTCACATTTCAGTTACTGTATCATCTGGCAATCTCTCCTTGTTCCTGTCTTCAAGAACTTTTAAACAAACCCTTTATTCAATCCACGCATTTTTTTTCTCATTCTGCTGTCCATGCTACAGATCTTGTAATGAGGTTATGCCTTTTTCCACTGAACTAGAATAATTAACTTTTCGCATTACCTGATCATGGCAGTGAACTCACAACCACGGGATAACTCAATTTGCTTAACCAACATGACCTGTAGGACAGCTTGTCCGCCTCTTCAATTGAACCAGAGAATATGATTTTTATACATTTTGATGTTCATTCCCAAAAGGTAACTATCATAGTCACCTGAAGAAAAGTTGTTACAATAACAACCAAAAAGAAGTCCTAGCAAATCATTTTCTAAGTTTTTTCTATACAAGTTAATGAGTTGTAATTTTTATTAACGATTTAAAAAATCTGGTCAAATTAGCAGCAGCAGCAGCTACATTAGAATTGTTCACATTTGTTTCATACTCAGAATGCTTGGGTGATTGCATCCCAAAAGTTTGTGAAAGTTGAACAGCAAACTTGATTAAAAACTGATTGCCTTATTGCTATTCATTGTAAAGGGTCTGTATCCGAAGAGATTATTTTGAAGGAAACTAAAGGTTAAAATAATGTTTTACATTGTGATTAAATTCTCCCAAATATTGGCTAATGTGTTGTATAATAATTTATTTTCCTCACTGAAAGTTGTTTGGTGTCCTTGCAGGTCCACCATGAAAAGAATGAGGATAAATAAGCATTGTGTATGTTGCCATCGCTAGAATCCAATCTGTATGTCATCCTCAAAATAATGAACAATGATTGCTAGATAAAAGCAGAACTCACCTGTGAATTGTTCTCGGGGTACATTGCCACCAAGCCCTTCACTGAATTCCTTGCCAGCACCACCAGCGCCTTTGTTTATGGGACGAAATCCATACCCAGAACCTTTGAACAATGAAGACAGATAATTTTTATTAGAAAGTTTCCATTTTTCAGACACTCAAGTCTAAAATAGTTTAACATTATGGCTACAATTTATTGTGCATGAATCAACATCTCTGCCTTGGATTAAAGTATCGCTTCCCAGGTCCTCTGCTTTGGTTCACCATGTAGTATCTGTGTAGAAAGATGGAGCACACTCCCATATATGTACAATAAAATATGTATACACATTGCATTTCATCAACATGGATAATTCAAGTCTTTAGATGATAACTGTAAAGGTTTATTCAGATTAGCATCTCCATTTGCTTTTACACACTTTAACAATTATTATTATTATAGTATTTTTCTTTTGTGTTACCTTTTATTGCAACTCTCAGAACGTCAGTGAAGATCAGGAGTAAAGAATGTGAGTTTGTGGCGAGACAAAGATTCACGTTCTTTATCCTCAGAAGTCTACCTCCTTCATCCCTACTACTGCTCACTATGAATGATAATCTGGGAATTGGGATAAAAGGCAACAGGAATTAAAAAGGAAGAAGTGTCAAAAATTTATACCAGGCTTCATCTAAGTTGAATATTATTATTACACTTTTTAACTGGTCAGTTCTCCCACTGTCATCAGGTGACCACATCGTTTTACTTTTAATGAACATTTAAAATAGCAATGTTACAGAATAGGCATTTTTACTTATTTTGTCTAGTCTGGTAAAAGGCCATGTATCCCAGAGAGCCAAAAATCTACAATTGGTGGATTAAAGGGAGAGAATGAAACAGTTGAATACAAGAAAAAGGTTTTAGAAGATAAAAATCAAGTTTTATAGTCAAATTTTAGGAAAACATTTTAATTTTATAGACATTAAAATGAATACAATAGTTACAGATGGACACAAATTTACCAGAGCAAATTAGAATTCTGATGTCACTAACAGACTTGAGGCATGACTCCATCCTCTCTGAAGGCAGTTTCATTGGTAGTCATTTTTATCCATGTTCTTGTTAATCCATAGTAGTAGACACAGAAAAAATTATTTGGTAAATATTTTCGGGGTTCAGAAAAAGTAGGACTTTTGCTTTTATATCCACTGCTACTTATGACAGGAGTATTCCAATACAATTCAGCTTAGCATGATGTGGCTGACAACAGAAATGGAAACAAATCAGCCCCTTACGTTAAGCATCAAGTCAATTAATTAGCATGAAATGGCTTTAGTCCTCTGATATGTGTTTAAGTGTCACTAGCCTGATAGGTAAAAATACTTCAATGATAAAAACCCACTTTAAAATGAGTGTACACCCAAACAATCTTCACAGTGGAAACTATTTGCAATCATTAATAAACAATTCAGCCAAAAAGCTTTCCAAGAAATAGTCAAATGTTTACTCCTGTTTAAAAAAAAAAAAAAGTTATTTTTGTATAGGAATTTGTACAAAAATGCACACCAAAGTAGATATTAACAAAACTTGGCCACATTCACTGATTTCTTTGAACCAATGACACTTGAACCAGTTAGCTTTATAGTAAAAATGTGATATGTTATTCCATAAGGAGCTAGGTGAAAGAATATTTTAATTAGTACAATTAAAACACACATGCACACAAAACAAGCCATTTTAACATTTAAAAAAAAAATTCAATTCACCCCAATCAAGGTGATAATGCCACTAAGATGCAAGGGGCTACTGGGAGAAAATGAGGATACTTTAGAAGGAACAGAAAACCCAACCCTAAAAAGGAAACAAAGGCTAAAACTCTAGTGTTCAAAAGATCTAGGGAGGAGTGTGAACTGGATGATATGTAACCCTATTGAAGAAAAAGATAAATCTTACTTATTATAAAACGCAGATTGTGTGTGTGTGTGTCTGTACGTTTATATATTGGATTGGATTTCTTACATTTTTCAACTGATTTCAACAAAACTTCACAGGACTAAGTAAAATTACCTTGTGATGGTTCTGACAGCGCCAAAAATTGGAAAAACATTGTTTTTACATGAAATCAATTTTAAAACACGATTATGTCGCCAGAATGAAAGGAGGGACAACTCATATCGAGTTATACTTATTATAAAACCCAGGTGGTTTGTGTGTATGTGTGTGTTCGTTTATATATGGGATTGGATTTCCTACATTTTTCAACCGATTTCAAAACTTCAATTTGTTTTTGGCAGGTAGTGTTTCTTATTGTCTTGCACACTTTTTTCTTTATTTTTACATTCAGAATGCTTTAAAAATTCCATTTACAAGACAATTGTTTATAATAAAAATTCTATTCAATTGGTAGACTCATAACGATTGAAAACAATGTTTTTGTTTGAGTTTGGGTTTGACCAATTCGTAAAAAAAACAAAAACAAAAAAAAACAAGACATGCATGTCCGTCAACCTTAAAGAATAATCTTTGTCAATTTTATTTTTCAGTCTTTATGATGGTCGATACTTGATCTATCTCTTACTGTTACATCCCCAGGCAACGCCGGGCTCTACTGCTAGTAGTAAATAAAATTTCAGAGTTTAGGTGGGGACAATAAAAGTATAGAGTAGACTTTAATGGAAACTAGAAACCCAATCCTAAACAGGAAACAAAGGATAAACCTTTACTCCTGTTCAAAAGAACTTTTCCTTCTACATTTAAGAAGTCCACCATTCTTGGGTTAAACTAAAGTATGATAGCAAGAAAAGGTGGGGTAACTAATAGATTTTTACCGAGAAAACATTTTGAATTCCAATTATTTTAACTTATAAAATGCATTTTGCAGTGACAATTATTCTCAAACACAATTGCAATAAAGAATAAACATTATCTAAGTTTATTAAACAGATTTAAGATTTTAGTGTAAACAAAAGAAATGATCAGACATTGTGAAAGAGACAAGTTACTTTTTCAACTGATATCAAATTAGAAATTTATGATCCGTCTAGTCTGGTAAAAGGCCATGTATCCCAGAGAGCCAAGTGAGAATCGAACACTACTTTGCATTATGGGGGAGCGAGATAGTTTTGCAAATAGTATGTCTACAGAATGCAAGAAGTTATCTCCCTTTAGCAAAATAACTTTCAGGGAGTGTATTTAAGGAAAAAAAAAAAAAAAGCAAACAGCAGAACACAGGGGAATTAGCAATTAAAGTTAAAAGGTTTATTGATGTTGGGCTCTAACCGAAATGTTAGAATGAATTGGTATTTAATTGGACGAAATGGATATATGACGTTGATTTGCCTGTTAATTTTTTTTTTTTTAATTAGTTATGTATTTTGAGTCTAGCAGGTGAGTTCTGTAAAATGATGAACCAATGAAAAAGAAAAAAAAATATATTGCACATGATAAAATTATGGGGGGGGGTTAAATATCCAAAACAAAAACCTTTCAAAACATTATGTGCTTATCCCCTTTTCTTTTTACAAAAATTATTTAGGTTTTGGTGTTGTTTCAATTCTATTTATTTGATATTTACACTTTTTGTGAATTAGAGATTTTACAAGTAGAACAATGACCATAAAAGAAAAGACATTTTTTAAAAACAAATTTGAATTATTTTTGTACCAAAGAGAAAGTTCAGCAGCGAAAAATTTAAATATCAAATTACCAACTACAATTAATTTGTCACTGTACAATAGCAAATATTTAAAGTATTTTCATTTTCCACATTTTTTTTTCTCTTACCACCATTATATCTATTTGAGACAATGAAACAGTCTTAGCAAAGTAGCATCAATATTAACCAAAATTATACCAGCGTTGTTATATATGTTAAGGGATGAAAGTTCAAAGATTCTTTGTTCTGGATTTTCATAATTTAAATTCAAAATAAAAGTACACCAAAAATTTTTGAGAAAAAAAGTGAAATCAAATATGAGGGAAGATTATTAAAATGATAATATTTTTGTATTTAAGGAATTTCCTTTTCATAAAATAATTCCTGTCCACTAATAAAAAGTTAAGTTATCCAAAACAAAGAATTCAAAATTTCTAACATTTTGTTCAAATTCTTTTTTAAGACAATCCAGAAGATAAACAAGGAAAGGTGGAATGAAGTTGGTAAGTTGATGATGACAACTTCAAACTCATATGTTAATATTTATCTTTGTAGAAAATAAAGGTAAATCATAAAAATATATAAATAATTCACTTAATCTTATGAATAATGATAATAATAGTAAAGCCAACTGTAGTTGAGATTCTAGAGTCAATGTAAACGTCATTATCTTTTCCTTAGTTGCATAGTTTGTGCATCACCAGGGCTACATAGAGTTTTGAATTCAGAGTTTTCCTTCTCTGTGACTGGATACAAAGCAATGCTGAAGAGCCTAGTCTGTTCTATTTAACCCATAGCTAGACGGAGAAGAGGTGTAAACACATCTTTTCCAAGTGTATTTGCACATAAGTGAATGTAATAAAGTTGACTGGAATTCAAACTCAGTTTTCCAATTTCTTATTCTCAGCCATTATCCATTACACTATCTCTGCACATCCATAATAATAATAATAAAGACAAAATGATTCAGTAGATGTAATCAATCAAAAACTGTCAATTTTATTGCAGAATAGCAAGAAAATTATTTCCCCCTCTTGTTGAATTAAAAAACAAATGAATAAACCAACTGAGTGTAACAAGTACAAAGAACCCCATGGGCTGAGTCAATAGAACCTTATTCTATCAGACCAATGGACTAGACTAAAAGTCATATTGTTGACATGAAATAAAATTCAAAGATGAAAAGGAAAGAAAAGAAACATTGTTTTCCCTTCATTCAACAATATCTTATTTAGCATTAAACATTTTTTTTCTTTTATGAAGAGATTTTTCTGTATTCTCTACTCCGGGGTTTATCAAATGCATCTGAATCTGGTGTACATAGACAAACGTTTTTATTTTATTTTTTTTGTTCACTGACTTTACTGCTACTTTATCATTTGGTTTTAATTTCTGCACAAACAAAATATTTCTGGTTGCAAAGGAAAAAAAAAACTGGATGATTAAACATTGAATGTTGCAATTTTTAAAA